ACACTCAAATCCACTCAGAAAGATTTTCAAGTTAAAGATACTATGAGGCAGCATTTTCTACAAGCGTTTCTCAGCCTCAGTATTATTGACATTCCAGATTGGGTAACTCTTAGTTATGGAGGTTTCCATGAGTGTTTTAGAATATTTAGTAGAATCCCCTAGCTCTTTTCACTAGAAACTAGTAGCACCTATCCCTAGTCATAATTGACAGTTACCATGATCAAAATTATCTCCAATCTTTGCAAAAAGGGCCCAGCTGTGTGGGAAGCAATATCATTACAGTCCAAGGACCATTGATTTTCACCTATCAACCTAGAAATATTTTAAAGCCTGATTACCTATGCTGTTGGCAAGGAAGTACACAAGGAATACTCTTATATGTTGCTAGTAAAAGTTTAAGTTATAGCTTTTATGGGAAGCAACTAGATGATGTCTATAAAAATAAAAACTCACATACTCTTTGACCCAGCTACCCCACACCTGGGAATAAATCCCATAAAAACGAAACAATACATAGACATGTATTGTACAAGATTGTTAACTGTAGCATTGTTGGCAGTGAACCAAAAACTAGAATGAGAGTGAGTGATCATTAATAGGGAATAGCTGAATAAATTATAGTATGTCCAGATCAGAGAGCATTAGAAAGAACTGGAGCTTAACCTATTACTAGGACATTTTTTTAATGAATTACTCCTGAGGGAGAAAAGCAACAATCAAAAGTCTGCATAATTCTTCTTTTCACAACACATACATCCCCAGGTGCTTTTATAAGTAAACAGAAAATACTTCCCTTATTATACTAGTTACCCCTGCATAATAGACATACATATTTGTATGTCCAGTCAGACAAGGATTGAATGTTCAGGATATAATAAGAACTCTTACAACTTAAAAACAGAAAGACAAAGAATCCATTAAAGAGGCTTGAGTAGACATTTCTCCAAAGAAGATATATGACTGGCTAACAAATACATGAAAAAATATTGAACATTATTTATCAGTAGGGAAATGCTTATCAAAACCACAATAAAATACCTTCACATCCCGGAGGAAGGATAGTTTGTTGTTGTTTTTAAAGGAAGATAACAGGTTTAGCAAGGATGCAGGCAACTTGGAGCCCTTGCACATCACTAGTAGGAATAATAAATTGTGTAGGCTCTATGGAAAAGTTCAGCTGTTTTTCAGATAGTTAAACATGGAATTATTACATGATCTGGCAAGTTCACTCCAAGATAATACACAAGAGAATTGAAAACACTTGCACACAAATATTCAAAACAGGCCCTCCCTGGTGACACAACGGGTTAAAGCACAGCACTGTGAAGCTGTTTGCAGTCACTGCAGCATGCGTTCAATCCCCAGCCAGGGAGGTGACCCACATGGTGCAGCAGACCTCTCCTGACCTTCCTGCTGTTCCCCTAAGCAGCGTATTTCAGTCAGTCTGCCTGTTCTATTCCCCACTGGGTCTCTAATGAATCCTCTCACCACCACTTTCCTGCCCCAGTACCTCTGGCCTACATCCCAGTTTTTGTGTGCATAAATAAATAAATCTTTAAAACAAATGTTCAAAACAGTTCAATTCACATAGCCAAAAAGTGAAAACCACCTAAATGCCATCAGTTGATGATTGAATAAACAACATGTTATTCCATTTATATGAAATGGAATATTTTTCTGGCATAAAATCTACTGATATAAGTGTTGAATCTTGAGAAAGTTATGCTAGGTTAAAGGAATAGGATACAAAAGGCCACATATTAGATGATTCCATTGTACAAAGCATCCAAAACATGTATTATCTCCTTATCTCCACAGATAAGGACACTTATGTGTTCTCCTTATAAGTGGAGGAGGGAAGTATAGGCAGAAATTGCTTAAATGGTATGATTTCCTTTGAGGGTGGTGAAATATCTTAGAACTAGAAAGATGCACTGGTTGCACAATTTTGTGTATGTCCTAATGCCACTGAACTGTACACTTATATGTTTATTGGTTAATCTTGTGAGAACATTATCTTAATTTAAAAATACACATTCTTTTTCCTTCTGTACTAGTTTTCTATTGTTACCAAACAAATTACCACAAATGGTGGCTTCAAATAAAATTATGACTCACAAACCAGAAGTCTTGGGTGGGTTTTTTACTTACTTTGAACCACCAGTAATTAAAGGTGTTTGTTGGAGGCTCTAAGGAAGAATCCACTTCCAAACTCATTTAGGTTGTTGGTGGAATTCACATTCTAGTGATTGTAGGACTAAAATCCTCAATGCCTTCTTGGTTATCAGTGCCAGCTGCTATCAGGTGCCCAGATTCATGGCAACATATCACCCTCCAGTAGCAGAACTTCAAATTTTTCTTCAAACATCTCTGATTTACTCTTCTGCAACCAGAAGGAGAGATTCTCTATTTTTAAAGGGCTCGTGTGATTAGACTGGACCCACCTGGATATTTTCCCTGTTGCAGTGTAATGCACCATAATCACAGGTGTATTATCTCATCAGACTCACAGGATTCCACCTCATACTCCAAGAGGGATAAAACAAAGGCAAGGCAATATCAGAATTTTGCTTATTATGGAAAAAGGGAAAGCTAGTAAGAACCATTTTCTACCTGTGTCAAGAAAAATTATTATTAGCTAACGTCCAGCATTGTGGGGAAGGTTAGAAGGGCCTGAGTGATTTATACCAAGTAAAGGTTCAGAACCAGTGATTTACAGATCAACACTGCTCAGGTCTCCAAGCCTTAGCTAGGGACTACAAACTCTCCATAATAGGTGGGCTTTTCTTTGTGACATATCTCCTAGTTTTCTTTCTCTTTGCTTCTATCAACACTCTGAATGTAAATGCAAAGTCACTGGCAAAAGTACCACTCCTCTCTTGATTGTCATAATGAGAGGCAGACACTATGGCCTGATGTTAGTGTACTACGTAATTGTGTTATGTGTATTAGAAAGTCTGTTTTTGGCTTCAAGACTCCTGTAATGGCATAGTGTAAAGACTGTGTGTGTGTGTGTGCATTATACCTATTGATAGTTACCACAGTAGAAATTCAATCTGGAAACATTTTAAAAATAATTTTTGTAGTATTGCATTCTAACATTATGTATATGTTATATATAAATATGTTTCAGGTGTACATCATTATAAATAACATCTGTATATAGCACATTTAATTTACCACTTTTAAGTCCAATCCTTCAGCCTACAATTGACCACTTTTACCTGCTTTGCCTCTCTCTTTTCTCCCTTCCCTCTGGTAACCAGTATTCTTGGAGTTTAGTTTTGTTCATTTTTTTTCCCTGTTATGTACCACATATGAGTAAAATAATATGATGTTTATCTTTCTCAGTCTGATTTACTTCACTAAGTGTAACATCTTATAGGTACATCCATGTTGTTGCAATGACAGGATTTCATCCTTTTTAACAGCTAAGTAGTATTCCATTGTGTATCCCACATCTTCTGTATCCATTTATCTGCCTTTGGGAATTTAGGTTGTTTTCCAGTTTGGAAGTTTTTTTATACACAAAAATATTCAAGCACACATTCTCTGCCTTTAGAGTGATATCATATATCATGTAGCCTCTAGAATGGAAAAGGAACTAAACTCAGGATTATTAGGAAACTAGTTGGAAATCTAAAAAAGTCCCAAGAATCCCTTGGGTTTCCTAGACCACACTGTGAGAACCACTGATAAATGGAAATACCACTAATTGCGTTTCTTCACAGATTTTAGTTATTCGGTGCATTCAGGTGTGCAACCTTAGAAACGAATTTTATTTCCTTTCACGATTGTGTTCTATATCTGGTAGACTAATTTCATGTGGCTGGCTACAATATCCTGCCTGTAGAAAATGTTACTTACTGCCAGAGTGGGGAAAAAATGAGCTAGAGTGGTTGTAACATGTATTAAAGCAAAACAAAGCAAACATGTTTTGTGAGCTTCTGGCAGGATCTGTTACTTTGCTGATATTGCACAGGGAAAATTCCTTTAAATGATGCATTGAAGTCTGCAGCGGAAGGATTGGGATAGCATCAGGCCGAATCTGGCAGAATGAGACTTACAGACAAGAAAACACTGGGGATTCTTGTCATGCTCTGCCCTTGGAAACTATGCCAAGACCTCTTTTTCTTTTTAAATGAAGAAATCAATATTTCATGATTCCATTAACGACTCAGTGTTCCTCACTTTGCTAGGAAACAGACTGTATTGTCCACTTTTGGATTCTTTGTGTATCCTGCTTGCAAAACTGTGAAGAAAATAAAGCTAAAAGCGCTCCATTACTGCTCTTCTGTTAATTTGTTCATTTCTCTCACAATCGTTACTTTCTTCTGTTCACTTCCAGAGGAAATTACCGCCCCTCCTCCCTGCTTTAGGCACACTTAGATCTGGGGCCTCACGTGGCTTTCTCGGGCAAATGATTACTATTCAGAACATGGAAGCTACTGGATTAAGTGTTTACAATTCTCCCGCCACAAGGTTACATCTGAGTCGGTCTTGGTCACAGCCACACAGAGGGTGGTGATTACCAGAGGGTGACTGTGAGGAACAGCGCGTTCCTGTCAGAAGGGATTAGGCCCACCGGAAACATTCACGACAGGTGAGCGGTAGGTGGCAGAAGAATGACCCAGCCGACCCAGAGCGTGGGCCTTGGTGCTCCCGCTGACTGGCACGCGCCGCCGCAACGAACCACGGGGCTCAGACTGGAGTCCTTGAAGGACTGGGCGCCGAAACAGGGTACATCCGCGCGCCGGAGCCGGAGGACGTCATCCGCCAGGCTTGCCGCCGCCGCCAGTTCGCATCTTGCGAGCCGCCGACCAATGGAAGAGAAGTCAAATTCCAGGAACGCACGGTGATTGGTCCTTTGACCGGAGGCGGGGCAGAGGGTGGACTTGAGGGCGGGTTCCACTTTCGGCCGCGCGGTGGGCGGCTGGGCTGGACACGTGAGCCGCCCGCCTCAGGGGAAGGGCCGGCGCTTCGGCCCCAGGTGGCATCTAGCCTTAGCCTGGGATGGCCGGGCCCTGCCGGGAGGAGGCGCCACTCGCAGCTACAGGTGCCCGCCCTGGGGCAGCACTTGAACTTCACTCCAACTAAGGGAGGAGGGAAGAAGGAGGAAGGGGCCGGGCTGGGTCCCCGCCCCTCGCACCCCGGATGGATGTGCCAGGCCCGGTGTCCCGGCGGGCGGCGGCGGCGGCGGCCACCATGCTCTTGCGCACTGCGCGGGTCCCTCGCGAGTGCTGGTTCTTGCCCACCGCGCTGCTCTGCGCCTACGGCTTCTTCGCTAGCCTCAGGCCCTCCGAGCCCTTCCTGACCCCTTACCTGCTGGGGCCGGACAAGAACCTGACGGACAGGGAGGTATGCGCGGCGGGCAGGCCAGGGAGAGCCAGACCGGGCAGTTGGTGTGCGGAGGAGATGCGACGAAGGGAAGGGTGGGAAGGCTGCGGCACTCCTTCGGGACAGAGATTTGTGACTTTTCTTGATTGGAGGGCGGCTGGGTCCCTGGCGCCCCATTCATTCTTACTGTTCTTCTGGGATCAGTTGGTTTTATAGGGCGCCTTTTAAATGAAGGGCTCTAGAGGCGGCGTGGGAACCTCCCAGACTCGGGTGCTGTTGCTGGAATGTAGCTTAGCCTGACAAAGATCAGACTTGTCCAGTAGTGTGCCTGAGAAAGGTGGGGTGGGAGGGGGGTATGAGGGGGGGCTGAGGGGTGAGAGGACCATATGGGGGGGGGGAGTGAAAACAACAAAAGCTGTACTTTGTGTGTGGTAAAGGCTTAGTAAATATTTGTTGACCGAAAGGAGAGAAATAAATACTGAATAACCCCTACTGTTTAGAAAGGACCTTCATTCTACCTGCTGCATCCTCTTCCTTTCCTTACCCCACTTTGTTTACCTTTCACAGGATGTTGTGCTCAAATAATGATCCTTCAGGACAAGAATCTGTCTCTATTGCTAATTGGGTGAGGTTGTGTCCTAGAATATGTTAACAAACACCTTCATCCCCGCTTAAATGCCAGTTCTTAGGATAAAACAGATATTTAGATGGTGTCACATAATTAGCATAATTCTTGCATTGTGAATTATTGCTTCACAGATGTTAGTTTTGCTCCTGGCCTATATGGGGAAAGCTTGGAAAGCTTCTCCACTAGAGCTTCCACTCTAGAAGCTTCCACTCTGGAAAGCTCCACTAGAGCTTCCACTCTAGTGCTCAGCATTAATCCATGATCCAAAACTTTTTGCTGGTTGATTTCCCCTTCCATGAAGGTTTATAAGTAACATACTTCAGAAGTGCTTGCACTTATATTTAACTCTTAAAGTTAGGGTTAATCCCAGAACTTGCTTTTTGTAGAGAAAAGACTTAGTTTAACTGAAGACAGAATTAAGCCTAAGTTGCTAGCAAATTCAATACCCTCTCTTGAACACTGTGAACAGTGAAGCTGACTGGGCACTAGTTAGCCTGGCTAGTTAATAGTCACCTCTTTTGAGTCACAACTTGGTATCCCTGCATAACAGGTCAAAGCAGACTATAATTACTCATAGTCTAGTTTGTTGTGACATTGCGCCTTAAGTTAATGAAAATTGGAGTTGAATCCTGGATTTAAGGTTTCATTAGAGTTCCTCATAATGTCTCAACTCTAGCAGGTATTACTGACTTTTATCTAACTGCAGATCTTCTGTATCTCAGTCTGAATTTTAATGTAGCTTACAGACCACAGTAAGGTGCAGAGGACCAACTCTGGTGAACAGAATGATTTTACATAAGAAAGTGGCAGCAGGTGTTATGAGACCCTGGCATCCCAGGTGTAGCTGCTGGAGCAGAAGGAGACTGCTTGTGAGCTGTTAACAATTAAAGTTGCATGTGCACTGCCATGTGATCCAAAGATTTAGTGCACCTTGCCTGGCAGAGAAGCATATGGAGGGGGAAATATTCCTAGTGTTGATATTTGAAAGCTGATCTGTTTTGCCACATGCCCTGGGCATAGAGTTGCTCATGAGTCTTATCAAAAAACTTCCTAGTGTATGTTCAGGAGCCATAGGAATAAAGCAAGAGTTCCAAGCCCAATAAATATTTGCCGATTGTGAAACTAAAATACAGCACACTCCTGTGGCTGCAGCACAGGTGAAGAAGAAGAAAGGATTTGAGGAGAAATTTAGTGCTTGGGAAAGGGGTGTCCATTTGTATCTGAATCATGGGTGATTGGGTAGTTGACTCTACTCACCCCCTACAGAATCCTAGGTTGTTATAATCTCTGATAACTGAATAGACCAACTTGTTCTCCTTCTTGACTGAGTGGTTGCTCAGTGATCACAGTTGTCATTATTTGAGCACAAATATTGCATGCTTTTTAGACAAAGATAATGTAATCTTCGGTCATGTTTGTACTGACCTTTGTGTCTCCCCAAGAAGACTTCAGAAGGGACAGGTTTTAAATCAAGTAATTGTTAACCAAATCCAAAAAACAAAAGAAAAAGATAGCATTTCCTTTAACTTGGCACTCTCGTTGGATTTTTTTCTTACATTTCAGGAAAATTGCTAACCTGTTTTAGGTTTAAAGCTTTTAAAAAGATTACATTGGTTGTATTTCAAGTTGAAAGCCAAACTTTATTATTTACTATTATTAAGAGCTCTTTACCTCCAAAAACTTTTTAATGTTTTTAGCATGATATTTATTTACCTTTTTTTAAAAAAAAAATTCCACCTATTCTAACTGATATTCAGCAACTTACAGAATTTGATTCTTAACATAATACTTAAGTTTTATCTCCTACTACATCCTTCTTTCCCTTGCTTTTTCCCCTTCTACAAACTCAAGCTCCACTCACACATTAATCTTACAGTTCCTAAGATTCCTAGGTCTTCCACTTACTGGCCTATCAGTGCAGATATGATCTCTGCTTAGAATAATCCTTCTACTATACATATATATCCATTGATATTTTTCTGTTCTGTTCTTGAACTTTCATATTCTCCAAGGTCCATGTCAAAGAATAATCCTGTTTCCTAGTTCCTTTATCATTAAGGTGTGTGTAGGTATATTCTTGACTAGGTTCAGAATTCCTGGAGGAACAAGACTTCATTTTATTCTTTTGTGTGTGTAGTGTATTCTTTACACAGCTTGAAATCAGAATTGTGCTATTATGTGCTTATTATCTAAAAAGTTACTTACAAATATTTAATTCTAAAATAAATTCTATGTCTGAGTTAGCGCTGAGACCTGAGTATGTTTTCTGTCTTAGAAGAAAGGATAAATAAGCTGTGATCAAAAGAGCTGTGCAAGGCAGCATAGCATAAAATCAATCCCCTTTGCTGGCAGGGCACATTTTACCTGAGATAAGTTGGGGGGGCGGTTATATAGTAAGGCCGCAATTTGTACATTTTTGGATATTTGAAGTTCCCTTTCAAGATCCAAAGTATCCATCCATGAAGTGGTTTCTGGTCTCCTTGGGCATTTATAGAAAAGGGATTTGCTTTTGAGCAGCCAGTGGCTAAGCTATGGAGATTGTATGTTATGAATGTCCTGTAAAAGCATTTAAGTGTCTGTTGAAAAAAGCTGCTGCAGACCTTAAAAGTAACCCAGGAACAATAGATGACCAATAACAGTTTTCTGGTTGAGGAAATCAAGCATTTTCGTGTTGGATTCAGAGTATCTGGGTTTTGAGCCTTCCTCTGGCAATTAATGGCTCTGATAACTTTGGGTAATTACTTTTCTCAAAGGCCAAGTTTCCTCAGTTGTAAAATAGATGATAAAAGCATAACTTGGCTGTCAATTGTTTGAGGACAATAATTATTGAGAAAAACAGAACATGTGTAAGTGCAGGCACTATTACTGCAGTAAAAGAGTCAGAATCCCAGGGAGTGTGGTAGACAACAAAGGAAGAATGGATATTGAAGGAGGCAGTAGAGGAAAGACATGATAATTGGTAGCTTTGTGGTGGTATGTTGAAGAAAATGTGAAGGTGAAGAAACAGCCATAATCAAACAGAGGAGGTAGTTTCAAATTTAAGAAAAAAGAACATTTGTAAAACTCCAGGCAAAAAAGGTGTAGGGAGATGTTTATTGAAACACAATTGCAAAAAAAAATTTAGGAAAGGCTTTACTTTATCATAAGCTTGCCCTTGTCTTTGATTTTCTGAGACGGTTATTATGCACTTTATCCCTTATCTTTAGAAATTTTCACACTTTTAAATAAAAAACATTTCTTTGGTGGTTGCTTGATGATTTACAAATACACTAGCCTAAAATTCATGAAGCTGAGACTATTAGATAAATCGCTTTTGGTATTTGGTCAGTCAGAAATCAGAGAACAAGTCTGACATATATTTCAGAATGTTTTATGGTTGTATTCTGCATTGCAAGAGGTTTTTTTTTTCCTACTATATTCCAATTTAAGATATTGTGCAAAGAAAACAGTTAAAGCACTTTTTTTTCTCACATTACAAATAAGCAAAAACCCTGCCATCCTTAGTTTTTCTGTCAAGACTTTAGGGCAGATTTATCCTCTTTATCCCTGTACCCCAAGAAATCAAGCTTAAAATCAAAGAAAATAAATCAAACGTAGGCTGAGGACTCACTATCCTGTAGCTAGAAGTAAGGATTGATGATTTCAAAACATTTATCAAGAATGTTCCAAACATTATGCTGATTATTAAGTTGTGCAGATAAGTATTAGTCTATCCTTAAAAAAACTGTAAGGCAATAGTGCTCAATTCTGGCCTCATATTTAAATTTCCCAGAAGTTTATTAAAAAATGCCTGTGGCTGGGCAGCCAGATTCTTTAATGTTCCATGAGAGATGTATAGCAATCATTAAGAACCAGTGCTATAAGGTAATTGGGAAGACCAGCATGTACAAAGCAGAAGCAACAGAACCTTGAGTGTTATAGTACAAATACTATACAGCATAGACTTCCAGGATGAGGAGGAGGCTTTGAAATATACATACATACATACATACATACATACATACATACATACATACACACATACACACATACATACACACACACACACATACATACATACATACATACATACATATGTTAATTTATGCATACAGAATTAGGGTACAGACCAGAAGTGCAGGGGCAGTGAAAGGATTCACCAGAAACAGAGTAGGGAGCAGAATAGGAAGTTGAGAGGAGAAGTGGGTGAGACAGGAGAGGTCTGCTGTGCCATGTGGGTCAGCTCCCTAGCCAGAGATCGAACTCATGAAATGGCCGCCATTAGCTGTGCTTTAACCTATTGCACCACTAGGGAGGGCTCTGAACTAGTTCTTAATGAATAGGAAGGATTTTCTCAGGAAAGAAAATAAAGGGCTGAAAATGGGAAGTATATTACAAGCAATTATTAGAATTATTATTAGTATTTCTTTAATAAGAAGTAGTTGAAGGATTGGCAGATTGTTTTAGAAGAACAAATTAGAAAATTTGAGAGCCTCTGATATCATTAATGGGTTTTTATACTTTTCCTACCAGGTCTTCAATGAAATTTACCCAGTATGGACTTACTCTTACCTGGTGCTGCTGTTTCCTGTGTTCCTTGCCACAGACTACCTCCGTTACAAACCTGTTGTTCTGCTGCAGGGACTCAGCCTTATTGTTACATGGTTCATGCTGCTCTACGCCCAGGGACTGCTGGCCATTCAGTTCTTGGAATTCTTCTATGGCATCGCTACAGCCACAGAAATTGCCTACTACTCATATATCTACAGCGTGGTTGACCTGAGCATGTATCAGAAAGTTACAAGTTATTGTCGAAGTGCCACATTGGTGGGCTTCACAGTGGGCTCTGTCCTAGGGCAAATCCTTGTCTCAGTGGCAGGCTGGTCCCTGTTCAGTCTGAATGTCATCTCTCTTACCTGTGTTTCCGTGGCTTTTGCTGTGGCCTGGTTTCTACCTATGCCACAGAAGAGTCTTTTTTTCCACCATATTCCCTCTACTTGCCAGGGAATGAATGGCATCAAGGTACAAAATGGTGGCATTGTTACAGACACCTCAACTCCTAATCACCTTCCTGGGTGGGAAGACATTGAATCAAAAATCCCTCTTAATATGGAGGAGCCTTCACTGGAGGAACCAGTAAGTTCCACCTTAAATGTCTAATAGTTGCTATTCTGGGCTCTAGACATATGGTAACAAAAGCGTTAGGAAGCCCCCATTTTGCTTGCCCTTGCACTGCATTCATTGGGACTCAGGATTTATTTGTGTTAGTTCATTGGTTCACTTACTCATTGACTCAAGATAAGTTGATTTATATTAGGGCCGACAAATACATTTTTCCCTGGAGTATATAACCTCCAGAGTCATACAGGCACAGCATTATATTACTACATCAAGGATGTGTTAAATTGCAGAAGCTGTCTTTTTTTTATTTTTCTAGTCTGGGAACTTGGTCTATAAAGAGCACGCTTAGAAATTTTTTGCTAAATGAAGAGATGAAATGATTTCAGTAAATGACAGGTAGGTACCTACTTCCAATTTCTGAGTTGAAGCCCAGAGTATTTAAGGATAGGAAGAAGTTATCTATGCCAGAGTGATCTCTGATATTTATTTTCAAATGATAATTTGCTGAAGTAAAAGGAATAAATTATACAGAGGAAGAGACTCATAAAAAGAAAACTTACAATGATGGATTAAATATTAAAAGTATGGTTAAGAAATTGTCTCTTCTACAGAGGTTTGGCATCAGAATAATTCATCCAGCCATTCTTCCTGGTCAGAAACATTAATTGCTTTTTTATAGGAGCTTTTGTCTTTCCATCAAGTTATAAAGTGTGACAGGCAAGGTTCATTCCAACCATAATGAATTAGTCTTAGCTTTTTTCCTGGGACATGTTTGGAAATAAGCTATAATCATTACAATTCTCTCACATAAAATAGAGTTCCATACATATTTTTGGCAGTATGAGAGTAAAGAACCAACATGAATAGTCTTTGGGCCCTTCATCTGGAGTTAGCCCAAATTGTTTCAATGCGACATCTAATGTCGCCTTTGAAAATTAATATTTTGCCTAACCCCACTTTTCCCTGGTCACTAGTTGAAATTTTGGTTATTATCCTAAAAGAACCCGGGTCACATTCATCATGAAACTCACTTTGATTACTAGGCACTTGTGGTGGTTTCTGCTTTTTGGTATTAAAGATTTTGATTTTATTGATTTTTTAAAATTGTAAAAGATATCTTAATTTCTGAGTCCCTATCTTGGTTGCTTGAAAAAAGCGTACCGATTTATAATGTTATTACTTCTTCCTATAATGTTTGCTTCATTTACTTGATCAATGAAGTCTTACTTTAAAGTCTCCTAGCACTGAAAGAAAAAAAAAAAAACACAATAGTGATTAGCAATGAAATGTTGATTACCTTAGAGATTGGTACATCTGTGTTTCTGTTAACATAGGTCACACATTCATTTTTAAGTGATATTGGAGAATCAAATGGTAAATGGAGACGAGAAGGTAATATAATCATTTGAAGGTTCTCATGTAGTAGCACAAAAACTAAGGACCCTATTTTCCTGTTTCAGATGTGTTAGGTGGTTTGACCTTAAATTAATATCTATGTACGTACAGCATTTATATTTATACATACATTAATACATTGGCCATAGTTCTAAAGAATTTAACAGACCAGAGTTTTAAACTTTTAAAAGCATAGTAAGAAGCTAATTTTACATAATAATGAGTATATGCATATAGAAGTGTATATGTCCATATATACACACATATGCCTATATATAAAAAAAGTTTTATAACAATGTTTTATTTTGACATATTCCATTCAATTTATTTTTATAATGCAGATCACTGCCATTATATTAATTTTATTACCTACTAATAATTGACTTAACAGTTTAATAGTTGACTTACAGTTAAAAAACCCAACTTGAAATTTCTTATTTATAGATAATGTCAGTACTTGACATGCTGAAGAATTACAAAATTGTAGAGTTAGAGGTGATTCAAACCACAGCTCACAGAGCTATCAGAACATCTTAAAGTTATAAGGAACTTTAGATCTCATCAACCTTCTCATCTTAAAGAAAAGGACTAAGAGCAGAAATTAGTTGACTTGTGAATTGTGCAGATATACTCTTAAACATAAGAGCACATATCAGATCTGCTTCCATCTATATTTTGCTCCGTAAAATCTTTCCTTAGGTTGTTAGCAGGATCAAAATCATTATGTTCACTGCACTGTGGTAAAAACTAGCATTCAAGTCAGTTCTGTAATATCTGTGGCTCTGCAACTGACTGTGACAGACAGGCAGTGCTTCCTGGCAGCTGCACAGCCTTGAAGTACTGCTGTGTTTTTTTGTTTGTTTTTTTTTAAAGATTTATTTATTTGTGCATACAGAACTGGGGTACAGGCCAGAGGCTCAGGGGCGGTGAGAGGCTTCACCAGAGACAGAGCGGGGAACAGAACAGGCAGATCGATGAAGTACACTGCTGAAGGGTGCAGCGGGCGGGTCAGGAGAGGTCTGCCACGTCATGTGGTCACCTCCCGGGGCAGGCGGGAATCGAACTCATGCAGAAGCGGCTTTAGATTCTCTGTGCTGTGCTTTAACCTGCTGTGCCACCAGGGAGGGCTGTTTTTTTTTTTTTTTATTGACAAACATGAAAGAAAATCAGAATATGAATATTGGGATCACAATTTAATGTTAACAAGCCCATAATTGACAATTAAATCATAATTATGTAATTGGAGAAAGAAGAGTAGGTGGGTAGGTATGTGACTTTATCTGGTTGAAAAGGAGAAGGAGTCCAGGGGATAGCTTCAATCACAATTTACCTTAGAATATTTGTTCTGAGAAGAATAAGTCTTTCGTTAGGGTATAATGACCTGACATTACAGGAAAAGGAGCCATCGCAGCTAGTGGTTTCCTTTCTTCATGGGGATTCATCATATATTTGGCCTGTTACTGACCTGATTTATTTTAAGTTGCTCATCCATTAGAAATGTTGAAAATAACTTCCACTACAAATGATGTAAGTCAAATCAATTGTTTATGTAGGAACTGAAATGTAATTAATATTTAATAATGGTATCTATTAATGTAACTGTACTTTGATCCATCAGCCAGCTATGATGGCTCTCAGTGCAAAGATTTACAAACTCAAGGAAGAAAAGCAGTAGTAATAAAACATTAGGTATAAGTTGGTTACCTAATAAACATTTCCTGAATTATTAAACTAAAAATAAAGGCTATACTTTCATTTGTAGATTGAAACCTTTTATTCATTCTTTATATGTGTTTGAGTCTTTAAATCAGTGCTTGTATTTTGTACTTGCTGTCATTTCTAATAGCGTAGTATAGTGGATTTTTAATAAAGACAGAAAGTAGTTAAGATACTAACCAGCAGGCTATTTTGGATAAGTTACTTAATTCCTTGACACTTAATTTCCTGATTCATATATCTACCCAGTAAGGTTACTTTAAGTGTCTAATGAAGTAATGCAAAGCTTTCAGATGAGTGTATGTAATAGACAAGCACCATGTGGTCATTCTGTTATTATCTATATCATGAACAATTTTGTACAGTCATTGTAGATAGTACTTAATGTAAGTAAGCTTTCCTTTTCCATTTGAGTTGATTGCCCCTCCTAGAAGGTATAACTAGAATCTGGTGCTAATTGTATCACCAGTTCTTTTTCTGTGAGTCAGTCCTTTAACATAGGATTGCAGACATTTATCCGCACCTACTAGAAGATTATCTAAAGAAGAAGATTGACAGCAGGAAGGAGTAATAATTTCTTATGCCGTGCAAGGTATGGTCCTTGACCAGCAAGAGCAGGTTGAATTTTGCTGTTGCCATTGTTGCTGTTAAACTGTATCATGGCTCTGTTAACATGTCCTGGCTCCTAAATGATATTCCATAGTCAGATGTCCTTTGGTTCCTTTGGATTCTCATTTTGCCTTTCCTTGTTAGTCACAAAAAGCAAAATTCTGTATGAGCAGAGCTCAGGATTAAGATTTGATTGATTACACTGTTGATAAAAATTGAAGTCAGAGGTAATCTCATAGTGTCCGAAATTTCATATTCCCTTTTTGGCACAGCCTTGGGATGTTACATAGCTCAGTAACATCTTGGCACACTCAATTATAAACATGTTAGCTTTATTACTCATTTATAGTATAATATCAGGTAATGAATATAAGGAAGAAAATTAATAATCCCACTACCTACACTGAAGAATAGAGAGCTGTTAATATTTTGATCTATTTCTTTATATCTATCTTAATTACTACTCAATGATTCTGTTAGAAGAATAACAGGTTCTCACTGATACAAAATCAAGCAGTGATTGTTTTAATAGGGTTAATAGTTGTTGCCGCTGTGTGGAGTTGTTGCCGCTGTGTGGACCAAAGTATGTAGTCTTTGACCATCTTTCTACCTTCATTTTGTAAAACATATCTTTTACTTGGTTACAGCTATGCTAAATTTATAAAGCACTTAAAACAACAATTTCATGGGAATGTATTTTTTCATTAAAGAAGATATATAAATGCTAAGAAGGTTATAAAGGAGAAAAACATGGTTTTCACAAGGCAAAAGGAGTACTGTTAAATAGAAAAGTGAGTCTATTCAGTAACATTCTGAGCAGTTGCCTTTGTGATGTTTGTGGTTTATTCCCTTTTACTGTGTAGGAACGCAAGCCAGATCGTCTCCTGGTACTGAAGGTCCTATGGACTGATTTCTTGATGTGCTACTCCTCTCGTCCTCTGCTCTGCTGGTCGGTATGGTGGGCCCTCTCCACCTGTGGCTACTTTCAAGTGGTTAACTACACACAGGGCCTATGGGAGAAGGTGATGCCTTCTCGCCATGCTGCTATCTATAACGGTGGTGTGGAGGCTGTTTCAACCTTACTGGGTGAGTGGTGCAGGATGGCAGTGGGTTGGGAGGGGAAGAGGCCTCTGGTAATTAACTAAGTCATAATCAGATTTTCTCTCCCATTTAAAATTGGAAATAACCCCAAGGGATGATTTATTTATATTTTAGGAAATGATTATATAATTTGAAATGTTTAGAAGTTCATAAGTATGACTAACTAATTTACTTCCTTTATAACCTTTGGGAATTCATAAGTAATGATTTAAAAGAAATGTTTCCTTATCCAAATTTCCATCATTCTGCATTTACTGGAGAGTTTTGCCACTTTACTTGAACCTTTTGAGTAGCAGTATATAATATAATAATAATAGCTAATAGACGCTGAGTGTTAATGTGCAAAGTGCTCATCTAAGGAATTTATGGATCCAGAGTCCTCCCTTATTGGCAGTTTTGCTTTCTGCTATTACAGGTACCCAGCAGTCAACTACAGCCCCAAAATACTACATACAATAAGATTTTGAGAGACCACATTTGATAACTTTTATTACTATATATTCTTGTAACCATTCTATTTTATTATTAGCTGTTGTTATCAATCTTTTACTTTTCCTAAATGTGTTAAGTTAAAATTTATAAGTGTAATCACTGGCATAGGAAAAACATAATACAGCAGGTCCTCGAATAACATCATTTCTTTGTAACGTTGATGAGAAAAAAACAATTCTGGCTTAGGTTGAATGTAATAATGTTATTAAAGGACCTGATTTGTTATTCATCGAACTTGCTTTCATTATTCATTGTTTTACCTAAAGTCATAGTTTCTAAGAATCTGTCATTAAGTGAGGCCTTATTGTGTGTGTGGGGACCAATACTATCTGCTAGTTCAGGCATCCGCTGGGGCTTTTATCCTCTGAGGCAAATATTTGACTCAGTCCTTACAAAGTGCCCTAAAGAGATGCAACTATCCCCATTTTACAGTTAAGGGACAGATAGGTTAATAACTTACTTGTCCAAGGACATGTAGATGGTAAAGAGTAAAATCAATATTTGAACAAAAACTGGGTGACTTCAGAAGCCTGTGCCCTTTCAAATTTGTTGACCTACCTCATATGGCTGTTGGAAGACTTTACATGATTTCTGCACACTCTTTTAGCTTTTCTTGGCATTTAGAAAACACACATTTTAACTATTATTGTCATCATCATTTTACCAAAGAGCACAAACACCTGTTTTTGCCCTATTCTAAACCGCTCCTCAGCTAGGAGAATGGACCCATCCTACCATGCTGCTAAGCTGAAAGTGCCTCCACTTTTTCCCTATAGCAGCATCCCTGGGTCTGTGTCCTCTTTTGCCATCTCGTTGCCAGCTGCTCTAATTTGGTGTCTCATCTCCTTTCAGTTGTTCTATGCAGTTTAATTCATTAAACCCAAAATTCCCTGCTTTCAAATCCCTCCTTGACCTTGTGCTACCCTATCTATATAACTGTACAAGTTTTAAAATTTATTTACCTAAGGATGTTTTTCATAATGAAGTAGCAATTATTTAGCGAAGTAACTATGTTCTTATTTTTGTTTTCTAGGTGCTGTTGCTGTGTTTGCAGTTGGTTACATAAAAATATCCTGGTCAACATGGGGAGAAATGACTTTGTCTCTGTTTTCTCTTCTCATTGCTGCTGCAGTGTCAATCATGGACACTGTGGGTAACATTTGGGTGTGTTACGCATCCTATGTTGTCTTCAGAATCATCTACATGTTACTTATCACCATAGCAACGTATGTATTTTGATTTAAAGAAACTTTACAAAAAGTTGTGACAGAATAAACTTTATGGTTTCTCTATGAACAAATCATTTTTTAAGTTAAAATCAGCAAATAGGAGAAATAATTGAATTGTGTGTGCATTACCCATTTTTTTCCTGAGAAAGCATTTAGTCGAAGTTCCTTTTTTTACATATTCCTGATGTTTTTAGATGCTTGCATGAGATTTATATCAGCACAAATTACTTTTCACTTAGTTGGAAATGGAATTGTCAGTAGAAAGAAGAGACTACATTTAAAGTAAACATTTTAACTAACCGGGAAGTAATTCTAATCTATTAATTATTCTTTTATTTGTTTCTCTTTTAAGTTTTCAGATTGCTGCCAACCTCAGCATGGAGCGCTATGCCCTGGTGTTTGGTGTAAATACCTTCATTGCTCTAGCGCTACAGACTCTGCTTACCCTAATTGTGGTGGATGCCAGTGGCCTTGGCTTAGAAATTACCACTCAGGTGAGATTTCTGTTTTGACACTGAACATAATATTTGATTTGATCAGAGTGACAGAAGTGGAGCATGCTTAATAAAAGTAAATTCAAACAATGCAGTATGATATGAGTAAAAATACTCCCTCCTTCCTTTATTCACCTCCCATTCTCAGTTCTTTTCTACCAGGAAGATGTGGGGACCATCATCTTTTTTGATGTGGCCTTAGAGCATTTCTGAGAGTAAACACCCAGAAGACTTAAGAAGTAATAGTGGTTCCTTCCAGACCAGTTGACCTCTGATTCCTCATCTTGTTGCTTTTCCTCCATTTTTAGTTCTGTACCTGTAATACTGTATCACATGTTTGAGATGCCCTTCTTTATCTAGTGTCTCTCTAAGTCTCTTCCCTATTTTATTTAAAATACCATTTACCCAAGGTAATGACTTAGTCTTGCTGAATAGCACTATGACCTCTCAACATATCACTGATGGAGAACACAGATGCACAAATAGCCAAAGACAATGCTGATACTAATATTCATTCTGGCATTGTATTATGCCATTATTATGAATTTGTGAGGTGCAAACCTTGCTCTTTGCTTTGCCAGATGGGCACATGAATTCCGAAGTGCCTACTCCATACATCCCAGTTCAAATGATTCTTTCTCCATTAGTCCCTCCATGCTCACCTGTTAGTTTTCTTAGAATACAAAACCCAACATATTAGCAATAACTAAATTTGCTTTTCCTGATGAGATGTGAAAGAGAAATAGTAGTAACAGAGATGTATGAGTGTTTTCTATGTGCCAGGTTCTTTATATAGAATTTTGCAGGGTTGTTATCAGGATTAGACATGGAGAAAATGAGTCAGAGATTTTAAGTAATGTTAAGTGTAGAGTAAGGTCACACTGTCAGTAATAGAGTGGCAAAGCTAGGATTTAAATGACAGTGTGGCAGAGCTTCTGCCACAGCATCATGCTGCTTTGAAAGGTGTTAGGAGAGTAGAGAAGTGGCAGTTTATTATTTTCTATATTTAACCAATTAATAGCAATAAATACCACTAGGCCACTTTTCAAGGGTTAGGAAAAGTAATATGTTGAGATATGTTGAGAGGTCCTAATGCTATTCAACAAGAGTAAGTGCTTATCATCCTGCTGTAGAGATGGTGGGTTTAAATATGGGCAACAATAGGATTTTGTGGGCTACATTGATACTCTTAACTTCCACAACTGCCATATTTTTCCATTGGAAAATATCTTGTAATGAACTTGGTCCAAAGCCTTAGAGTGATATTCTTTTTGTACTGATAAACCAGCTTATAAGTATTTAATAAGTTGATGATCATGATTATACTGTTGATAAACTATATAGTCACGTTAAAATATTGGTTTAGGGGCCTCTCTGATAGCACAGGGTTTATAGTCTCAGCACTTTCAAGCTATCTCCAACCACTGGGGCCTGAGTTTGATCAGAGAGCTGACCCACATGGCACAGCAGACCTCTCCTGTCTCACCTGCCTGATATTCCCCTTAACAGTCTCTGGTGAATCCTCTCATCCCTTGAACTTCTGGCCTACACTACAGTTCTATGAATAATTAAATACAATAACTATATTTTTAAAAAGATTTAAAAACATTGGCTTAAAGAAGATTGTTTTAAAAGGACACCTATGGCGAAATATGGTTGACCTTCTACTGCTCTCTTCTGGGGAAGAGTAGGAGTTCTTGATCTCCAGAATTTTGGCCTGTCCTATACACCTTTCTGCTTGTGGACACAGACCACAATTCATTAGAATAATAATAGCAACAAAAGTTAAAACAACATTATTAATAGCAGTATCATTGTATTGCATTGTATACAATGCAATGATCTCGTCCCATCTTGACAGCCCTCTAAAATAGGAAATACTATGAATTTTACTTTGTAAATGAAGCCAGGGCTCAGAGACTAAGTATCTCAATCAAGGTCACACAGCTGATAAGGAATGCGATCAAGAATTTTTTTGCACGTAGGCAGTCAGGTTTCAGTATCACCATATTACCCTGCTTCTTTATATCTCCAGTGCCTGGCACATTGTGGAAGTACACCTTGTTTCTTGAAGCTTATTGAGAATATGAATATACCTAATTATATAGTGTGTTTGCATGTGTCATAAAATAGTTCATCTTCTAATTGCTAATTCTCTAAACTACTTCTTCCCCTTTTAGTTCTGGATCTACGCTGGTTATTTTGCACTCATCGCTGTGGTTTTCCTTGCTAATGGTATAGTCAGTATTATGAAGAAATACAGAAAGCATGAAGATCCAGAATCAAGTTCTCAAGCAACCACTTCATAAAACAGTGTGCTAATCTTCTCAAAGCAAGAACTCTGCACAACAACTGTGTCTGGATATATTTAATTTTGTAAGGTGTAGATATATGTTTGTAACTGTGCATTCATTGCTTCAGAACAGCCACATGACTATACCTTGCATTCCTGGAGTAACATAATACTGTTCAGAAAAGCCAGAAGTGAAGTTTATATAATGGATTATTTATGTAAGCTAATTAAATTGACTTTTTCTGATTGAAAAGTAAATTTGATTTTGAAGCCAAAAAATCAGGAGCAATCAATCAGCACATGGGTTGTCTACTTCGTAGCAAGTGAGTTTGGTGTTTCATAGGTCAAATATGTGTGTATCTGTCTAGCATGAATCTTTTCCCAGTGGAACCAGGATTCACAGAGGCCACACGATGTTACAGGTCAGAATGGAAATATGTTCTGATAGCATGTTCCTCTGTTCTACTTAATTCTTATTCTTGTTTTGGTGTTATTCATGTCCATTCATATTCCTACAGTGACAGTTGTTCCTGTCACTGACAGTATTTGTGCTGGCTTGCTTTTCTGTCCTATGAAAAGTATGTGTCACTTCTAATTTTATATTATTGTAGAAAATTCATTGTATGAATGTTCTGAGTTCCATGTTGACAATGATGTATTTATGTAGATTTTCTTTAGAAGTACATTTTTGCATTATTCATATGCTTCCCAGAGAAGCTCACTTAGTTAGAAAATAAGGCAAGTTTTGAAGCCTGCTAATAATCTAGGTGAAGACCTAATCAGAAAATTTAAGGTCGGTTTGCTTGCCTTTTATTCTTCTATAGGAAGGACTATTTATTCCATGATAAAAATTCAGTGTATTGATTAAAGATACAAGTAGCCCAGTTTGTATTTGCATTCCTCTTTATTTCCAAAATAAAATGAGGTCTTTTTTTTTTTTAATGATTTTTGTCCCTATTTAGAGCTGTTATATTATTTGTCCTTATCATCCAAGATACAGGTGTCATTTAGCTGTTTGATTATTCCAAGACCTTTTTCAGAAACTGAGCCTGTTTTTAATTATTCAGAAGGACAGGATCTAGTATAGACTTGATTCCTGCTTTTTTGTACATTAAAGCTGCCCTATTTCTAAGGGTAGGTGTTCTTGAGTATTTGCTTAAAATAAGACTGCTAGTGATTCCATTTCCAAGTTACTTGAAAAAAAGTTATTCTGTATATACATTTAATTTTGATAGCAGTCTACCAAGTGGCTGCTAGTATATGTGAGACATATTTTAAAGCCAACTTTGTTGCCTTATCTTGAAAAGAATTTAAGTAGCTGCTTTCAACATGGGGTGTTAAACTTTTTTAGAATGTCACAGCTCAGCTGTGAATAATAGTGTAAAGATTGCAAAATCTTTATATTCATTTCATTTCAGCAGCAATTCTAGCAAATGAATGAGTAGAAGAATAGATCGTTTTCCATTCACCTTCTTTTCTAATTAAGGAAAAGGAAAAGATCTCTAGCCTAGGAAAGGAAGAGAAAGTCATGTCATAAAAGTAATAATCTCTAATTTTTTTGTCATTTTCTTTTTGCTACACAGAGAATTGTTTACTTAGAAACAAATAGAAGAGTGGTGTTTGAGAGATTTTAATTAATTATTTAAAGAAAGAGGACTATAGTGCAAGCAAATTGTTCATGTTACCAAAGCATTATTTCCCTGGTATTTAATTCCAAGTTTCTGGCATATAAAAGGAGGCTTTACTAATTTAAGATAATAATAATTTCACATCTTGGTGTGTGTCCATATTTGTAGAATGTTGAGCCCCATTTGAACGTTGTACTGTATGCAGTTTTGCAAAGAAGTGAAAATAACCTGTACTTTTTATTCAAATCTGTATAGATTATCAAATTATTTTTATTAAATAAATATTTTGCAGTTTGCTTTCCCTTTTTAAGCAGAATTATTTGCTTCAGTAAAAGACTTGGAGTGTATCTCTTTCAATAATTTCTGATAGGACAAATTTCATGTTAGGCCTTCCCGTCATCCAACTTTCGCTATTAGCCTTCAGTGATCCTGTTAATTCTCTAACTGCTTTGTAATCTTTACCTGTGACTCTTTCTTATTTCTATTGTTTCCCCAGTTTATTTCTAGCACCAGATGCATTAGTTATTTATTTTTGGTCTTCATCTTGTTACCTTTTATACCTCTTTTCTAATGCATGTTCCCTTTTAGAAAGTGGAAAGGTCTACATCCCCTCCAATGTTAACTGGATTTTAAAAATAAATCAGGTCAAAGGGTAAAGTTACCTTTTGACTACATTGACTTTGTTCCAAGCCCAAGTAATCTGATACCCAAGGAAGCATCTTCTTGTTCTCAATTGAATATCATAATTATGTCCCAGATCAGCTCAGTCTTTTCTCACAGTATCAAAATGAATACTTTCCCTCTAATAACACATTTTAAAACCTACTTTAGAAGGCATTTCGTTGATTAGCATCAAAAACTTAGAAACTTTCATGCAAAAAAAAAAATTGTTAGCATCATTTTCTGTCCCCATAAGTTATATCTTCTGTATCTTGATGATAATTCAGATTGTAAGCCACCTGAGCAGGGACCATCTTCTTTCCATCTTTTGTTGCAAAATATATTCTAATGCCATCTGAAAATTGAATTATATAAATGATTTGTAATGATCTTAATATAGCTACCTTCCAGTACAAATGTTGAATGCTATTATTTTTAAAAAAGCTCTATAAACATAAAACATAAAATATTAAGAGCCTATCAGTGATCTCTAGTTCCCTAGATGCTTTATTCAAGCATTGTGCTTAGAAGATAGAAACTGGATATCTATTTGTTTTTACCTATAGCATCCGGCCCATAATTAATGCTTTATATTTGACAAATTTTAGCTTGGGAAAGACATCCTGTAGTAGTAATGTGGGAAAGGATCCTATAATAATAATAATTCCTCTATTCTTTTCATTATTCATTAAGCAAAATAAAAATACATTATTTTTAAAATTACTAAAAACATAAACAAGATGTCAGAGTCCAGCTCTGACTAATGAGCAGTCGGGTCTTTTTCCCGAAGGATGAGGTGGCGTTGGCGAAATGAGCAATTGAGGCAGACACTGACACTCTAGCTGGTGCAAGTATCTCCTGCCAAAAGCTTCAGTAGTTCTTTATTTAAACAATTTCCAAGCGGTGAGATTACATCAATATAGGCATTGAAGAAAATATTTAACAACTCATTTCCATGGCTATATGGAAATTTTGTGGTTACAAAGAAATTCTTTTGATCACAGAAAACCACCAAAAGCAATCAGCATCCCCATTTCTCAGCATGATCAGTCATTCTAGTCAGTATCTCATATAAAGCAGCAAATAAGTCCTCCTTTGAACAATCCTTTTTCGGGCTATATCTAAATTCAGATCTGTTTCTGTAAGTCTCTCCAAACTGCTCCAGGAGGAAGCACATCCTGATCATGTTTATCTATATTCCTAAAGACAGTCTAAACTGTTGATTTATGCTAAGGTACTTTTCTGAGAAAACCATTGTCAATTATTAAACATTTTTTGTAACGGTTCTTGATGCACAATTAGGCTGCAAATAAGAGGACTAGGAACCACTTGATGGTCAAATACAACTAGCCAAGGGCAAGTAAAGGTAGTTCAGTAAGACATGTCTTCTTGGAAACCAAACCATCTTCTCAGGAGTCTTCCCCATTGTCATAAGACCTTGTCAAAAGACATCATGAGTAGCATAGCCTGTATCAGAAAGGATCCTATAATAATAATAATTCCTCTATTCTTTATTTGTTAAGCAACATAAAAGATTGCCAAAGACATAAACAACCACCCATAAGTAAGAGTGGAACAAACAACAGATTGAGTGTTAATGATTTCAGATATTGGAATTATCAAATATCTTTAGATTATAATGTACAATTATGTCATATAATTATAGTGTAAAATACACAATTTAAATTATAATGTATAATTATATAATGTATAGTTTAATGTACAATTATATAATGTATAATTATAATGTATACTTATAAATTATAATGTAGATTATAAAATAAAAGTAAAGAGGGCCTCCCTGTTGGCACAAGGGTTAAAACCTCAGGGCTATCAAGCTGTCTCCAGCCACTGGGGTCTGAATTCTACCTTGGGAGCTGACACCACTTGGCACAACAGACCACTCCTGTTCCATTGTTGCTCCCCTCAGCAATGTATTTCATAATATCTGCCTGTTGTGTTCTCCACTCTGTCTTTCACTCTCACATCTCTGGCCTACTACCCAGTTCTTGTATGCATAAATAAATAAACCTTAAAAAGTAAAGAGTTGGAGATAGATATATAAAGCTAACATTTTTTTTTTAAAGATTTATTTATTTGTGCATACAGAACTGGGGTACAGGCCAGAGGCTCAGGGGCAGTGAGAGGCTTCACCAGTGACAGAGTGGGGAACAGAACAGGCAGATCGATGAAGTACACTGCTGAGGGGAGCAGCGGACGGGTCAGGAGAGGTCTGCCACGCCATGTGGTCACCTCCGGGGCAGGCGGGAATCGAACTCATGTGCAAGTGGCTTTAGATTCTCAGTGCTGTGCTTTAACCCGCTGCGCCACCAGGGAGAGCCAAAACTAACATTTTTTAAAAGAATTCAGATAACTTTGATTTGAGACAAAGGGGAATTTAGGACAAGGCCAATGATCTGAGATAAAGAGGGGGATTACATAACGATAAAGTCCATTTTCTAAGAAGACATAACATTTCTTAATATGTATATGCTTAATATCAGAGCATCAAAATTCATAAGACAAACTGAAAAGTGAAATAAATCCACTAAGTGATAGACCAAACAGATGGGGAAAAAAAATAAGTAAAATATACTGACTTGAAAAGCATGATTAGCAGACAGAATTGGAGGCAACTCCTTTCTATGGGAATTACAGTTACAGCACTAGCAATTAACTTGAAGTTATGGTCAAATTACATTTATAGAATATTCCATCCGGTGACAGCAGAATCCACATCATTATTTTCACTCTTGAATAAACAATTGCCAAATAGTTCCTATTGGACTCTAAAATACACCTTTACAGAATTGAAAATACAGAAATCATATAATGTTCTCACACAACAATGAAATTAAACTAGAAATAAGAGAAAAGCAGCTCTTAAACCAACAAATACGTGGGGATTAAACAACATCTAAATAATATGTATTAAATAGGTTATTTAAATAATGTCAAGAGCAGAAATAAATGAAAATCAATCAAACAGGTCAGCAAATCTAATGTTGAGATCCAATATTATAAATCAGGTAGCAAATTAAAAATGTATAGAAAGATTTATGCACAGGTAAACAGAATTTGTTCTAGATAAGCAAGATGATTCAACATTTGAAAATCAATGTTGCTCATTACATCAGAAGGCTAAAGAAGAAAAATGTAATCACATCAATTGATGGAGGAAATACATTTGACAAAATACTACAGCTATTCATGAGAGAAATTTCTCAGTAAACTTAGAAGGGGACTTTCTCAAATATTGATAAGAACCTTTATTTTTACATTTTTATAAAGATTTATGTATGCATACAAGAGCTGGGGTGTAGGTCAGAGGTGTGGTGTGAGAGTGTGAGAGGATTCACTGGAGACACAGAGTGAAGAGCAGAACAGGTAGAATACACAGTGAATGCACACTGAAATACACAGCTGAAGGGAGAAGTTCAGACAGAAGTTCAGGAGAAGGCTGCTGTGCAGTATGTGTCACCTCCCTGGCTGGAGATTGAACTAATGTTGCAGTGGCTAGCTATACCATGATGGTGCTGTGTCTTTAAAGCCTGCACTACCAAGAAGGTCCCAATAAGAATATTCAAAATAACCTAAAGATGAGAGACTAGGCATCTATCTGGGAATAGATGGAGTATAAACTTAACCACTGGCAAATTGTATGACTGTCTATTACCTTCATTAAACCAAAATACACTTGAAGTTTATGGTATGACTGACTATAACAGTAAAGAATATAAATGTGACAAAGAACTACAGACACATTGATTTAAACCATTTTTATGACAACTTATTTTCAAACACATGGGTGAATAGTTTCAAAAAGTAATTACTTATTATGGAATGTATTTTCTTATGTATATGAGTCAGTTACACTTTGTTCTAGTTCAACAAACTAGCAGAAAACAGGGTCTTATTGCTAGTCATCAACATTATTTGCATACCTTTTTTCTTGTTTTATTTTCATGTTAATATGCATGTCTGAAAATCAACAGGTATAACATCTATGAAATTCACACTAATAAGAGCTACACCTTTAATTCAGAAACTTATTTTCAAACACATGGGTGAATAGTTTCAAAAAGTAATTACTTATTATGGAATGTATTGCCACTTTTAAGCAATTTTCTGCTTACTACTTTAAAAAGGTAATCGTGGGGCCCTCCCTGGTCGTGCAGCGGGTTAAAGCATGAGTTCAGTCCCCTGGAGGTGACCCACACCGTGCAGCAGACCTTTCCTGACCCAGCCACTGCTCCCCTCAGCAGTGTACTTCATCAGTCGGCCTGTTCTGCTCCCCACTCTGTCTATGGTGAAGCCTCTCACCGCCCCTGCTCCTCTTGCCTGTACCCCCGCTCTTTATGAATAAATAAATCTTTAACAACAATAACAAAAAGTAATCATATTTGTTGCTTTTCTCCAAGACACACCTTTAGTTTGTTTTGTTTCTTTTCATGATAATTTATTCATACTGAACACTTCTCCAGTTCAGGGTTGATTATAGGATTCCTAACCATTATCCTCAGCTTTATTTAAGTCTTAGCGCAGGCTAAGTAGTTTCTGCTTTGAATTCTTTTTTTTTTTTTTCTCTCTGTAGTCAATCAGTTACTCCTCAGTTA